TATATATAAGATTGTTAACAAGATTAAGTCCTAAAAAATATTATCTCCGATGAAAAATTCAGTGTTACGGTTTTTCGAGTTTCGTGGTAGCAGCCTTTGCACCTGTATTAAGTAACCTAATGGTACCTCTATTAACTTTCCACGATATTTCACAGTCTTTAAAACTTTCTCCTTCTTCCTCATCTTGTGTCACATCCGAACACGACGTATCATCCGTCATTGAAACATTCATTTCCGATTCTATCGAACAATTCGATTGTGTATTTGGCGTATCTACTTTAGACGAATTGATTATTTCTATTGAAGGCATCGCATTTCTAATTTCAGAATTGCTATTATATTGTTCGGAAATTTCTTTCATATTATTCGCTACAACCCAATGATGTCTTCCACTGGACGACGAATTACGCGAATCATGATTCCTATTAGTTCTATAGGATGATCTCGAACATGTTTTACTATCCTCTTCATCGCTACTTCCTTCCGTACAAAGCTCTTCTCCTGATATCCATAATTCTTCTTCTTCCTATAAAGCAGAAATAATTCAAATCTTATTTTTTTGAGAATATAATGAGCCCAGTTATGTACAATTTAACTAAAAATTAATAAACTCAATATGGATCCAATTATTCATTTATTCCAAATTATTTAAAAATTGTAAATAATATTAATAATATTACTTAGTATTAAAAAACATTTTAAACAAGAAAAAATATATCTAATAGGAATAAAGCCATATTATTATTATTATTAAAATTTTCAAATTAAATTTACTGAAATTTAGATCATAGAAGATTATTAGCTTTCTGCATGATTTGGTTCATTATTAATAACCGATAAATCGGTGTCTATATTTCGTTGGTCAAATGGCGATAGGAGTGAGGAGTTTTACCAACAAAATTAGATAGTAGTGCAAATGTACTACTACAACACTATATTCTCAATATAACGAATCTTACGAACGATATGTAAGTCTGAAAAAGCAGGTCAAAGAAATATATATATATATTTTAAATTACGCGTCATCGTCTCACCTCCCTCTTTAATCTGGCAAGTTGAGACTGTATTGCCGGTTTCGTGAGATTATCTTTCCCCGTACGTTTTGTTGAATTTATAGACATATTCTATATATCTCCTTTGGTGGAATAATAGTTGTTTGTTGTTTTGTAATAGATGACCGAAAAAATAAGAGAAACTTAATAAAACTTGTATTAAATATAAATTATCGTTATAATATGTTGAGCAAATAAAAAAACAAAAGAGGAATAAATTCAAAGATTGGCAATTGTTGGATCATAGTACACATTGGCTGTCTTTTTTAAATTCTTTTTTTTTATAGTTTTTCATAAATTTGACACGCTCGCACTAAAATAGAGTGATGCTGAAAATAGGATATCTATTTGCGGTCGACAAAGAGGACCAAGTCATCACTGTCTTCCTTTTTTTTATTTCCTCATCGAGACTACTACATTGGAGACTTTTATCTTTATCTTCATCTTTATCTCTTTCTCTCTCTCTATCTCTATCTCTATCTCTCTCGATGCTGAATACTTAACGCGTCTGCGTCCGTGATATTTTGCAGTGATTGTATATATATATATGTATCTCTCTCTTTCCTTTACATGCAATTCAATCGATTTCAAGGTATCGAAAGACCTTGAACTAGCGAATGTGGAACATACGTATAAAAGAAACCGGTTAATGTCGTTACGTTATATTCTCTTGATTAAATTCGTAATTATTGATATGATAATAAGCTATAATTTTCAATTAATTTATTCACTCGACGATATAATACGAAACGTTGAAAACGTAAGTTAATGTAGAGAAAAATAAGTCAGAAGAATGAAATAGTAATCGTCTACTTGTTCAAACAACGTTTATTGTCATGCAAAACGAAATTTATTTTTCACCGATGAACTTTCACGAAACACTACTTCGATATTATGTACGTTCAAGTTTATCGAATATTACAATTCAAATTGTTGACCAATCAGCACGCGTATTCGCGAGGAACAGTGATATCGTAACTTTGAAGGATTTGAATGGAAGAGAAAAGTCATACATATCTATTTCAATATTGATATATTGTTATCTTCAACGGCAATGCCATAGATATTATTCTAATATTTCTTTATCTACTTTCTTCTCTCTCTCTCTCTCTCTCTCTCTCTCTTTCTTTTATATCTTATTTTAAATTCTTTATTTCATGTTAAGTGAATAAAGAAAATAAAAATAAAAAAATAAAATAGAAAAGAAAGAAATATCGTAAGAAATATAAATCGTAAAAAGTAAATCGTAGCAAAATTAAAATAAGATTGTTTTATTTATATCAATATCACTTGTCATAAATTCCCGATTTATTGATAAGTTATGTTTTTCCAAATATTTCCCGGATTCTGTTTTTCCGATTCTGCACGTACAATGATAACTGGTGCCCGAAAACTACACACTGGCTTTGAAATCACGACAGCGGCGGCGCTTACGGGCAAACACATAGCTGGATATATAAATAAGCGTATCATTTCGCTTGCGCGGCAAACCGCGTTTCTACCGTTTACAGCCACTGTGCTCCAGTTTTCGAGTTCTTCTTATTCAAGGACGATTTAAGGCATCTACATTAAAGAGAGAAAAACAAGAATGTATTTAGTTTGAGAGAGAGAGAAATTTTTATAATATTATACAAATTAAATATAAGTAAAAAATAAAGAAAAGATAAATAAGAAAGCAATATTAAATAAATTACGTTAATATTTACAATCACGATGTTGTCGTTTGCTTGATTGAATTTGGATCCATATATGTGATATCTTCTGGAAAATGGTCCATGATAATAAATTTCTTCTCATTAGGTTGATCCAAAGTATTTAAATAACCAAACCAATAGATAACGAGACCAGGACCAAATCTATTCCAATAACTCAAAAATTGTTCCCTTATGTACTTTTGATGTATTTCATTATTGCCAAAACGTGCCTTTGATTCAATCCAATTCACTACAAAACCATTTACAGCGATAGGAACTTCTAATTTAAAATCTGGAGTTTTGTCATATCCTCTTGATCGTAAATGTTCTTCATTACGAAATGCAAAGTTCCTTTCTGTCAAATAATTCTGTAATTTCATTTCATACTCTTGACCTATTGAACTAATATTTTTCTTATTAATGAAATAGAAATAATATATTTTTATGTTGAATGCGAATGGAATACTTACATGCCCATAGCATCTGCTATCGGTCCATAAAGATCGTCATATAATATACACTATAATAAAAAATAAAACAGAATGACAAATATTATTTAAAGTTATTATTAAAGGAATTTTAAGAGGGATTTTACCAAATATACTTCATACGATAAATCTTTATCTTCTATTAAAGTTGTATCCTTAAAAAGTCTGCTAACATCTTTACGGGAGACTAAAAGAAAATAATGTGTATTTTTTTTAAACTGTAAGAGGATATAAATTATAATTTATAATATTTTAATGGCAAATGTGTGAGCGTTTATATGCAAAAATATTTTACCGTTAGGGTCATCCTGACTGCAATGCTTTTCTAAAACATTACGTGCTAATAATGCTGGTGGAGCATCAATTTCTTTTGCCATCCTTAATAAGATTCCTACAGGTTCTCTTTTCTGTACAGATTCTATGTAACTGTAAATTACAAAACAAGTATATTAATAATGTATCTAATAATAATTCATAAGTAAAATAAAATGCAATTACTTTTCATAATAATTTTTATTGGGTCCAAACAATTTAGTGTGATTCATCTTCATTTTTTGCTGTATCTCTAATGATAATATACTGAATAAAGTATTAATTGGCACACTAAACAAACATAAAATGATTAGTACTTTCATTGAAATAGTTTTCCATAAAATATAAAAATATAAATTCATATGCATATATTTTATTAAAAAATAAAAGATATTACAAGTTTAAATATAAGGTTTGAAAATAAACAATACAACTCACTTGTCAAATTTTTCTCTTAACATTTTTGCACAGTCTTTTGATAATCCGTTGAACTTGTGAATTGAGGTTATAATCTCATTGTACAATTCGAGCTCCATTTTTTTCTTTATATTTATTATAAAATATAAATTCGAAACAAAATAAATGATATTTATAAGGCGTTCGTCGAACTTTGTAGGATTTTTGTTTACTGCTTCAAAAAATAAAGAAACAGTATTGCCAATGTATACAAATTTTTAAGCTTTTGTAATGAATTGATAAGATGTGCTAAATATTATGAATAATTCTAAATAAAGTAAATTCTTATGTTTTTTGGTATTATCTTTTAAATAACAATTATATAAATAATAAAATATATACGAGTTGATTTATTTTATGTTTTAAGGTTATCGTCAGTATAACCTGTATGGTGGGTAGAGGTAAGGAGTAACATCTCTTATGGGAGAAAATGTGAAAAAGTGTCCAGCGATTTCTATAAATAATAGTTCAAAAACCTTTCAGAATGGCGCTGGTGTAGACAGAAGGTTAAGGATCCTCACTCCTCAGTATTGAAGTAAGCCTAGTTATGTAATAATGTAGTAAATATAACCTTAAAGAATTATTATGAGAAAACGTGTAGCTAGAGTGATTTTATTTCGTGAACTGTGAATAGTACGTTTATTGATTTTTTTATCATTTAATTTTATGAAAAAGTATGTGAATAACAAAACAGTTATGGGTAAAATTTGTGTTCCTTGTTTATTTTTCAATCCTACTCTAATAATATTTGGCGCTTTCTTTAAAATTTACCTTGATGCTAATGTGGCGCCACCCTAATTTAATGCATTTCGACGGATGAAAGACGAAAATTCACTGTCGATACCTTTCTTTGAAAGTCTTATGATCTATGGTATGCGCGAGTTATAATTTGTCAGAAAATCGGTTTTGGATTTAATATAAACAGAGATGTATAAAATTTCAAATGTACTAATTAGAAAAATAAAAATAAATTCTGTTCTGTTTGTTTTATAATATAACTCACATTGTGCATTTTGTAAGGAAAATAATTACGATGAATTAATAATGTTTTTAAGCGAGTTCTTATGTATGTTTAATACATTTTCATAAGAGTATTTTATTTTGTTTCAGTGTATATAAGTAGATTTATGGAGTGAAAGTAATATTGAAAAGTATAGTATAATTATGAGTAGAAGTAGGAAATCAAAAATATCACATAAATTGGAAGAAAATAAAGATAAGTTTCAAAAGCCGATAGAACAAGGAGATCATGGTATAGTTATCGTTTTCTAAAATAACATATTTATATATATATATATTTATAATATACTATCTTCTTTTTATTTTCTAATATTAGTAGTCGTTGTTATGTAATATGGCCAGGGAAAAATTAAAACTTATGTATTTCAAAATGTTTATAGATAATTCATTATTGCCGATGGAAAATAATATAAAGGATAGCCCAATAAAAAACTCAAATGAACCTCAAACTCATCCTGGTCACAGTACACCAATGCAGAAAAAATATTCTAAAAATAATGTAGAAGATTCTCCAGGACCTTGTTGCAATGATAGTCCGATATCAATTCCATATACACAAGATGCCAGTGAAGTTGCCTGGGATTGGCAAATTTCAAGTAAAGCTAGTTCTGTTAAAAACAAAACCGAGGATGATCATACTGTTACTACACCTAAACAGGCAAAGATACTTAAAAAACGTATTTTAAATTCTCCATTATTATATAAACCTTTAAGAAAGAGGTTAATAAAACCGGATAGTGTAGAAAGTGTTGGAAAATTTGCTGCCGAATTAAAAGCGTTGACTGAAAAAATGAAAATCATACAGCGTAACGATGAGGACTGTATAGAGAATGATTTAGACGATAATAAGGATGAAGTAGAAAATCATGAAGAAAAGGATCAATTGAATGAACTAATTGTTTCGAATACAAATACTTTTGCCAATAAAGTAAGTACAAGTTTTGATGAATTATTTGATGAATCGATAGAAGATTCGATGGTAAAATGTAGCCAAGAAATAGAAGAAAAATTTAACCTATGTACAAGCAAAAAGATTAGTACATCTGACTCATTCAAACGAAGTAGAGAGAAGGATACATTTATCACAAAAGAAAAAAGTAAAAGTGCAAGTAATTTAAGTGAAAATTTAAAAAGCACTTTTTTTTCACAAAATTCTCCGATATTAAATGTTAGTAATTTTTGTAAAACATATTCTAAGACTACTCCTAATTGTAAGAAAAATGTAGATATAGATGTAAAAAGGTTGGAAGTGAAAGAAAGTAATGTGAAGCAATCTTCTATAAATAATAATATTATAAATAATCGTAATGAAAATTTGCAACTTTATAAAAATTTAGTAAGACGTAATAATGCTGAATTATTTGAGATACCAGATGATTCTTTCGACGATTGTTTAGCTACTTGTATAGAAGATGATAAATTATTATCTGAAACAACAGAATATGATAATATTTTTCCAGATTCAGATATTAAACAGCATGCAAATGAAAGAAATTATAAACATTCTAATTCAACGAATAGAAATGTAACTAAAAGTGCAACAAAATCAAATAATTTTGGCTGTAATTCCAGCAGTTGTATTAATCAAACTTCTATGGATACTTTGAATAAATCCATTCACAATTCTAGTGTCAATAGTAATCTTACCGAAAATAGAAAATTTTTTAAAACTAGAAGTTTATCAGATTCATATTTTGGACATGAAAAAACTACTAATATTAATACAAAACCTAATACATCTAATTCACGTCAAATAATAAAACACTCTTCTTCCTCTCATTTGCCATCTAAATCATATGTAAATATTAGTGGTAGAAGTACAACAAATGAAAATGTTAATGCAAACAAAAACATTAAATCAATAAATGATGTGGAAAACATGCGTGCACTTAATAATAGTAAGATTATGTTAAAAGATTCTGCTACAAGGGATATGAAAAATTCACAGACTATGTTATGTACACCTGAAGAAATAGAAAGAAAACGTTTAGAAGCAAAAATGAGATTAGAAGCAAAAAGAAAAATACATACAAATATTAAACCAGCAATACCTTCAGAATTACCACCAAAGAAAATACAAAGGTAAAATAGTGTTATTTTTTCTATATTTTAGATTTTAAATCAATCTTTAAGAAATACTTTGAAAATTTATTATCAAATTATATAATAAGATCAACTCTATGAAATTACAGTGCAAATATATAGCAGATAGAAATAATAACATTTTAGCATTTTACCTTTACAAAGTATTTGAGTTAAATAAATGAAGAATATTTTAACGTGTTATAGTATTTTCTGTTATATTTATGAAGGGTTACATTAATTTTATTGTTGATAACTGATGTTCAAACAGAATTTTTCTTCAAATCGCATACATTTCTATTAATATTTATATTAAATAAGATTGTGCATTTATATTGAATTATTAATAGAAAAGTATTATTAATTTATATCTTAAGTCTGTGACTTAAATGTAATATTTTTGTAGCTCCTTTTTTACTATAAGAATATTAAGTATATTAAATTTGTTTTATAAGATCATGTTTTCTTTTTCTTTTTTCATTTTTGTAAGTAGTAATATATTTTATTTAATATTTTCTAATAAAATTTCTTTTTTATGCATGCATTGCTTTAATTAGAAAAAATATTTCTGATGTAAATACAAATCGATACAATTTTATTATTATTATAATTGTTATTATCAATACTTATAGAAATAAATATAAAATAAGAATATTTATTTCTACTCTATTATTGACTGTTTTTTTTTTTTTTATTATATGGATTTAAGATTTATTTCAAATAAAAGTTACAAGACATTGGTGATCTTATATTTTTCACAATTACAAAATATGATTTTTTGTTCTCTCTAATATAAGAATAAATAAAATTCTCTTATCTAATATCACACAATCGATTTGCAACGTATCTATCTCATATATATATATATACACTTATATTTTTTACCCTATTTGTATCATAAGAAAGAATGAAAAATAAAGTCCTAAAGTAAAATGGCGGCGTCCTGTAAAGGACGAGTGAACGCATGCGGAGTGGAAGTGGAAGTAGAATCGATATGATGAGTGACGTCACGTGACATCAAGTGTGTACGGCCGACGACTTCTGAAACTCGGGAAAACGACTTTTCTTCGTAATATTTTAACTTGCTTCGGCACTTCTTTCTTTTTCCGATATTGCTTATTTATTATTGTTGAATATATTACTCGTCAAATGTTTTCTTTTTTTTTTCTCAAATGAAAATATTATTAATTTTGTTGCAATAAAAGTAATCCGAACTTTTTTATTTGATTTGTCGTATTTGTCTGAATATTATAGGATAAATATTAATCGAAAGATAATAGTGATAACGTGTTAATGAGAGAGGAGGATGAAAGAGGGAGAGAAAAATTGTTAGAAAAATGGCGCGTAGAGCGGAAAGAAAAATAAGGATCGCACGATATAGAATTAGGTTTTAGACGAGAAGCGCATGAACCGAACGGTTTGAGGATAGGATCGAGCAGGCAGGCATATTGTACTGGTAGTCAGTTCACTGGTGGTAGTCGTTCTCCGTCGAGCTTGAAGAAAGCACGTGTTACTTACTTACGTCAACGAATCCACCATCGGCACTACTACCAACAAAAGCAGCATTGGGGTACCAGTAACAACACATCAGTTGCGACATCATCTCTAGTCGTCACTACTATTAACGAGAAGTAAAAGAATCGTAGGCACCATTGGGTGTTCTCTCTTCGTCTTTTAACCCTTTATCCCCTTCAATCATCGAGACTCTAGTATACACATATTCCGTGATTCGAAATAGAAGAGTATTCGAATTTCTAATATTACTATCTTTCAGTATTTCGAGTAAAGCGGTCCGCGCGACTTTAAGATAGAGATAGAAAGAGAGAGAGAGAAAGAAAAAGAGGCACGACGGCGAAGTTGTCGTCGTTATTATCATTTTACTATCACGATGTTTCTCGCGTTTATTCCTTTTCTTTGCACTATCATTGCTACCCAAGCTGAAATTTTCACCAATAGTTTCCTCGTTAAAATGAGGCAACCGGCTGAACGATATTTGGCTGATCAAATTGCTGCTAGAAACGGATTCGTCAATCTTGGACCGGTGAGTCTGTGAATGTTTTTGTGACGTATACACTACCACGTGTATGCCTATCATCCTTTATCGATGCATTTATCTATTTTATTATTATTTATTTTTTTATTATAATATATATGTATATGTATAGATAAATGTATGAACAAATTTATTTAAAGTTACAAAACGTAAGGTTTTATTCGAAATTGATTGACCGATAGTAATGAAAAATATAATAGAAAATATATATATATATCGTCCAATCATGATTTACCGATTCTTTTATAAAGTAAACATTAATTTAATTGTTTTTCTTTAATTTTATTACAAGGCTTCTAATGTCTTTGTAAGATTTTATATAAAGGAATTCAAGAAAATTGATAAACTAATTTTTCTGTCTGTCTCTTTCACAAGCATTCTTTTTTTATCTTAAATGAACAATTACGATGACGTAGTTCTTTCCCTCGACCGTATGGTATCTTTTATTTAGGTTTCGATGACAACAAAATGATTGATGCGATGGCTTCTTTGAGATGAGTTACGGGGATTGGAATTTTATTTACTGAATACATTACTCTCAGATTTAACGAATTATTGATTTTTATTGGTAAATCTTGCAATTAACAAATAAAAAATAATAATCAAATATTTGTAAAATGATGGACAAAGATATTGGCAAAAATTATATTTTTCTTATTACATTTTTTATAAATTTATAAAAAGTACACTCTCTTGTGTGTTCGTTCAATTTTGGCTTGTACTACTTAAAGTAACAAACCAGTAGTATGATCGAACATATATTACTAGAAATACTGTTACTTTAAACGGGATCAAAATGAAGAAGTTTTCCAAAAAATTGTACAATAAAATAAAACTATCATAAAAAATTGTTGTTTTTTTTTTTAATATTAAAAAATGATTTGAAAAAATTAAAAAAAAGAGGATTTAAATTATATATAAAATTCTAAGAATGAAATCGCGGCTTAAATTGAGATTATTTTGAAAAAAAATATAATATACAGAAATATAAATCGATTTAAAATAATAAAAAAAAAAAATAATACAAAAAGTTTACAGCTATTGTAGCTTAACGACTAAACTTTAAGATTTAACTCATTACTCTAATTGATATTATTCCGAAAAATATAAAACAAATATATAATATAGTAGATTACAATTAATTTGAAGGTAAAAAAAGAGGTATTAAGATAAGATGTTGAGATATAAAAATTAGAGAACCACATTTATAACGCAACACGTGTTATAAAGTTATTTGCATATAAAGATCCTTCGATGATGGTAACAATAAGTTGATAATGAAATGAAAAGTGATCTCGTTAAGTTTCACTACAGCTGCGTACATTATTTCGAAAGAGAGATTTTATCACGTGGAAAATATCGATCTGTCGATGATTAAATATGCCATAATATCGAAGTATATCTTAGGAATATATGAAAAACAAATAATACACTTTATAATAAGAATCAACTATGTTACGTTGATGGTTTTCGTAAGAACGATATTTATTCGAGAAATATGTCTTAAATTGTTAAAACATATCTTTAATTTTTGGTCTATTAATATATGGGGCATTTCACGTGAAGCGGACAACGAAAAAAATGTGAGTTCGTGGATTTTGTTCATAATTAGCTTGATTGTACTTCTATGGGACCTTAATAATTGTACATCATTATTTTTTCTTTTTTATCTTAGTTACCAATTTATGGGTCTTCAAAGAATTGACAAGATATGAGCAATAGATTTTTCGAATACTATTAAAAGAGTCAATCTAATAGATTATATAAGAAATAAATCGTGTTTATTAGAGAATATAAATTAATTTTCTTGAATGTAAATAAGAATTTGAAATTGAACTTTTTTTCGTCTAGTAAACTGAAAGTTAACATTAAAAATGTGAATTTATTAAACTTCGCATATTTGTATTTTTTTTATTTTTACCTTAAAAAATAGCTTGTAGTGTAGAAATATTATGAGGAAAAGCTAAACAGTACGAAGGTGCCTTAAGGCGCGCTGTACTGAGCGGTTTCTAAGTGTATAATTCATTAGTTACAATAGTAAACTGTAAGTAGCGAGTAAGCCAACAGCCCTGAGGAACTGTTTAGTTCATATCTTCTAAACGAATCGAGATACCATTATAATTGTTTTCCTCATAATATTTCTACACTACAAGCTATTTTTTAAGGTAAAAATAAAAAAAAAATACAAATATGCGAAGTTTAATAAATACACATTTTTAATGTTAACTTTCAGTTTACTAGACGAAAAAAAGTTCAATTTCAAATTCTTATTTACATCCAAGAAAATTAATTTATATTCTCTAATAAACACGATTTATTTCTTATATAATCTATTAGATTGACTCTTTTAATAGTATTCGAAAAATCTATTGCTCATATCTTGTCAATTTTTTGAAGACCCATAAATTGGTAACTAAGGTAAAAAAAAAATAATGATGTACAATTATTGAGGTCCCATAGAAGTACAATCAAGCTAATTATGAACAAAATCCACGAACTCACATTTTTTTCGTTGTCCGCTTCACGTGAAATGCTTCATATAAATCATTTTTGAAATTTATTTTTTATCTCTTTTTCTTTTTTAATTTAATTGCCTAATTCTCTAAAAATATTTCAAATATAATATTATGATTTCATGATGATAGTAAGATGTATGCAATGATGTTATTAATTTATAGTAGAACAAAGAATTTTTCAAATAAAACAAAAGAAGAGATTTATTAAGCGGAATCATTTTAATATTACTCCTTTGAACGTCGAAGAACGTTGAAGATTATATTCCTTTATGTCTTTATAAATGAAGTTTTTCGATAGAGTATTAAGCAATAATTAAAGGATACTACTTTTTATTCTTTTTTTTTTTTTTAATAAACAAAAAGATTAATTGCGATACAGTTCGGCATTAAAATCGAACAATTGATCAATATAAGTTAAAAATATCCAGAAATGTTAAAAAAGTAGTACTCAAGTAAATATATCTATTTTTATAATGTATTTAATATTTAATTGTATTTTTACCTTTTGCGTTTTACGTTTGAATTATATATAGTAGACGTTCAATGATTCATGCGGGTCTTGTATTTTTAGAGGTTCGTTGATCTTTGCTTTCAATATTTTACGTAGGCTGCATAAAGTGACTAAATCGATTTGTTAGTGTTCATTGATTTTAAATATACACTCTAATATATAATATATACACTTATATACGAGAAACTATGTTCAAATTATAAAAATACATATACATAGAATATATGCAAATATGAAATATATATATATGTATATATTACATAAAAAATCTTTAAAAAGAGTAATTGAATTTTGAAATAATATTGGGATTGTTTGCTTATCTAGAAACTTTTGACTAACTCCTGGAATTTATATGTATATATATATATATACTTATTGTATATATTTCAGTTTTATGGCATATTTGTTGCGTGGGAAATTGTGCGGAAAATATACACGTCGACTGAAAATTGCTTTTACAAAGTTACACCGATCGTATTTCCTTAACACCCCCTTTCCGCCTTTTTATAATTTTACTATAGACTCACATTTTCGCACATAATTTTCAAGCATGTTTCTCTCTGCTTGGAGTATGTTACTTTTTGTCCCTTCTTTGTTTGTTTTTCAAACACAAATTTAAAGTTTAATTAGCTAAATTACAATTTGTTAATAGTTTGAACGTGGAAATTAAATGTCTGATTAAAGCAAATTTCAGTTGTTCTCAAATTATAGTCCCTTAAATAAAAATTATTTGTTATAATTCTAGATATTAAAAATCTTATATTCTCTATTTATAGTTTAAGTATTGTATATTCTCCAAATATTATATCCGATTAAAATTATTCACAATCAATATAAAAATTTTTCGATACTTTTTCAGAGGAAAAGGAAACTGGGTTTTCATGATAAAATACTGTAATTTAATAATCTGTTGAAACAAGTAACTCAATATTTCACGTAAAACGTAAAAGCAGAGCAACGTTTTTACGAAAAGCTCTTTTTTATTTTTCATCTAATTTTACATATTAACGTAGGCGATAGAAGCTTTTCGCATAACCATACGCGCACACATACTAATACAACCATGTTATTTTACATGGATAAAATAATTTTAACCTGATGTTTTTCCTTTTGCATAAACCTATGACGAGGTTACATACAATTTTTCATCGATACTTATCTCTATTGACGTAACGATGCTTAACTTAACGACCATAGTAGAGAAGATAACAATCGGATTAAAACAGGCCTCACGGTGAATAATAAAAAAAAAAGGATAGAGATAAATCACTCAATAAAATCTGCTCGTTTATGTAAAGTGAGAAAATAAATCTAGATGATCAGGGGTGATCAACCCCTGTACGTTGTACTGTCTCATTGAAGGTAAATGTATGATTTAGAAAGAGAGGGACGATGTTGTTAAGTATTTGTATATCATAGTTTATCATTCTTGTCACGTACTTCAAAGACACTTTTTAATTGGATTATATACGACCAAGTGTGGGCGTATTCAAACGGAATTAATGTAATAGGGGGTGTGAGATTAAGTTTGGTATGCAAGCGTTTGATCTGGGAAAAAAAAAGAAAGAGAGAAAAAGATAATATTACTGCTTCAACAACGGAATGATCCTCTGGAATGGTTTATGAGCATCCAAGTTTTTTTCCATCAAAGAAAATGTCTGCAAAAAGGGATAAGAAAAATAAAATATTACTATGTAGATTTAGCTGAATAAAGAATTTCACAATAGTTTATGAATTTTGTAGTGATCTGGATTGAAATGTGAGAGGGAATGCAAGTAGATGGGATAAAATATAGAAATATAACAATTGGTATAGAATGGTCAGAGCAGAGGGTCAACCGTAATATCTGAGCGGCTTAAGAAAGGTAACCAAATAGAAGTAAGGGTGAAGATACGAAGTGGAATCGTAGAAACGCGTGAATGTGCGAAAAGGGACTAGGAAGAGGATGTGTTGGGCTCTGG